CACCAAGGGGTCAAAGATTGGCTGGTTAACATCATTCATAACACAGTGCTGGTAGACGCCATAACTACATATATTTACACTGGCTTAATGGATTACTGGCTTAATACATTTTTCTAATATATTAAAAAAAGATAAGACAATAATCCCCTTTGTTTAGTAATTTATCACTAGTCTTACTTTATATGAATCTTTTGGCAGGAGATCTTGAAGTCTGTCCAGCAGCATCAGGGCTTCATCAACTCTCTGTCTCTTAACCAATCTCTTTGTCAGCAACAACAAAAACACTTTCTATAGCAAAGAAAGAGAAAGGAAATAGCTAGAAATGTGCCTTTAAATAAGTACATAATTAAAGTATGAGAAGATATTATTATTAGTGTCATGGCATCAATCGACGATTGCAACGAGCTCAAATTGCATACTCAAATTTGAATGTTTTGAAGTTGCTATGAAATTGTATTCACAACCCATTTTACTTCTATAATGTGGCATATTTTGTGTGAAACAAAGTATATTTACAGTTGTTGATTTTAAAAAATGTAGCAGAATTTGTAAAGATGTACTGATACAGAACTTGAATTTGTAAAGATACAATATACAAGCAATTAAGAACATTAATAGTGCCTCTGAATTTACTATGACTTCTGATGAACGATTTATAAAGATTGATGTTAGATGGTAAAACGAACCTTCTGTTGAGACGAGAGATTTGGCACTTTGTAAAGGGACAGTTTGCTTCAGCTGCTGGTCCAGAATGCTGTAGATATGAACAGTCTGATTTTGTAGAGCTAGCACATATGGGAACTGAACTGCAGCATCCACCACTCCATCAGGCCACTGTACAGGAGGATGGTGGGAAGTGCCATTCTTCATCACAAACATGCCTGCGTATCATATAGACTACTTTATAGACTATTTATTTACTGACAACTTTATAGTGGAGTTTTCAGTTATGTGTCAGTTAAGTATAAGTTATTTATCGTAAAATTCCAATTAAATAATTGAAAATTAAAAAAGGGTAATTAAAAAGAAATAAAAATATAATTAAATTAGGCAATAATTGAAATACCGCTATACAACTGCTGAAATAATATATTAAAAATAAATTAAGGTGCATAATACTGTAATTTCATTTGGTCTTGGAAAATTTTTAATTCTTTTTAGATCTCTGAAACCTTTGAGGAGACATATGAGATTAAGGTATCTTGCAAAATCAATAAAAGTTCATTTGTTTGCCATAATTTTTTCTCTATGGGGACTTGAGTATATTATCAGTTACAATTATTGTGAGTACATTAAATTAAACAATGTCTTTTTATGCATGCACTTATAAAGGCCTTAAAGTGCTTGAACCCCAGTAAAACCTTAAGTGTATTTTTTTACCCCTTACAGAAAATCCACATCCGCACTTCAAGTGCAATCACATGTTAAAATCACATGTGAAATACGCGAAACTGCATGTTTTATATGCGTTTCATGTGTTTTACATGAGTTTCACATTTGTTTCACATGTGATTTTAACATGTGATTGCACATGTGAAGTTCATGCACTGGCAGATTTTTCAGATTTACCTTGTTTATCACTTAAAGCTTAAAAAGTCTTAATTTTATAATTATAAAAATTCTTACCCAAACATACAGGCCCATTTCAAATGAATTCTCCTTTTCCACATTTGTTGGCAATGATATTTTGCTTTCCCAGGTTATGTGGGAAAAGATAGAGGGTGGTTTGGCTCTGATAATCATGGAGAAAATATCTGTCACAAATGGCCACACACAGACACGTCCCATGCACAGCCAGAACCATAGGTTCCTGCGGCAGAGCCACCTGTCACACACACTCCCATCTGAATTGAAAATTAAAAAAGGGTAATTAAAAAGAAATAAAAATATAATTAAATTAGGCAATAATTGAAATACCGCTATACAACTGCTGAAATAATATATTAAAAATAAATTAAGGTGCATAATACTGTAATTTCATTTGGTCTTGGAAAATTTTTAATTCTTTTTAGATCTCTGAAACCTTTGAGGAGACATATGAGATTAAGGTATCTTGCAAAATCAATAAAAGTTCATTTGTTTGCCATAATTTTTTCTCTATGGGGACTTGAGTATATTATCAGTTACAATTATTGTGAGTACATTAAATTAAACAATGTCTTTTTATGCATGCACTTATAAAGGCCTTAAAGTGCTTGAACCCCAGTAAAACCTTAAGTGTATTTTTTTACCCCTTACAGAAAATCCACATCCGCACTTCAAGTGCAATCACATGTTAAAATCACATGTGAAATACGCGAAACTGCATGTTTTATATGCGTTTCATGTGTTTTACATGAGTTTCACATTTGTTTCACATGTGATTTTAACATGTGATTGCACATGTGAAGTTCATGCACTGGCAGATTTTTCAGATTTACCTTGTTTATCACTTAAAGCTTAAAAAGTCTTAATTTTATAATTATAAAAATTCTTACCCAAACATACAGGCCCATTTCAAATGAATTCTCCTTTTCCACATTTGTTGGCAATGATATTTTGCTTTCCCAGGTTATGTGGGAAAAGATAGAGGGTGGTTTGGCTCTGATAATCATGGAGAAAATATCTGTCACAAATGGCCACACACAGACACGTCCCATGCACAGCCAGAACCATAGGTTCCTGCGGCAGAGCCACCTGTCACACACACTCCCATCTGTCCACACACACCTTATAAATGCTCACTGTTTTCCTCTTGGTCGAAGCTGCAATGAGCTCGACGGAATCAGTCTGAACCGCTGACTCACTGACATAGAAGAGTGACATGGATTTTTTTCAGGGCTGGAATGAGTTTCAGGGAGAACATGTTAAGCACCGTGACCGAACAATCCCAGAGAACTAAGAGGTGATTCAGAACAGGGACCGCCGTCAGCTGGCTGATTGCTCCACTTCGGCCCATCTGTCTCTTCCCCACATCCCGCACTGAAAGGCTTTCTTCACTGCTCATGTTATTTACAGTGAGGTACTCAACGACTCCCTCTTTGGTCCCAATATAGAGGTTTTTACCAAAACACTCCAAACACTGAATGCTGAATTTGTCTTTGCCTTTCCCAGAGGGCATTTTTTGAAAGACTAGCACAGGGGTGAAGACTCATGATAATTTACTCTTAATTTAGGTCTCAAAAATACACCTAAAAATAAATGAGAAACATAGTAAACTGGCCAGAGAAGGAAAATAACCTTCATTAGCTCAAATATCTACATGCTGTAAAGCTAAATAAAATGAGTAAAAACGGTCTCACAGTGTTATGGACGTCTCTTTTTTACTCAAGTGTATTTTGGCCTTGCCATGTGACTCTCATCCTGAGAGGAAGTTGGTGTCAGCAGTTTTACTGCTTTTACTCTAGCTCTGAATGGATGGTTGATTGCACAATGCCAAATGTTCAAGAAAGACTAGAGACATAAAACCCTTAGTTAAACATTTCTTATTTACTCTAGAGATGTGCTTTTTGAAAGTGTATAAAAGGAAACTAAAACAGCGTGGTTGCTTCAGCAAATGCATTTTTATCTTACGTTTGCTTTTGCTCACATTATCAGTTGGGATTAGGGTAGGGTTTTGTTTAGGAGTATGTTAATTTCAAACGAAATAGAGCATTCAAGGAATAGATCACTCAAAAATGAAATTTTGCTGAAAATGTATTTACCACCAGACCATCCAAGATGTAGATGAGTTGGAGAACATTTGGAGAAAATTTGCATTACATCACTTGCTCACCAATGGATCCTCTGCAGTGAATGTGTGCTGTCAGAATGAGAGTCCAAACAGCTGACAAAAACATCACAATAATACACAAGTAATCCACACTACTGCGGTACATTATTTAATGCTTTGTGCAGCCAAACGTTGTGTGTTCGTAATAAAAAAATTAATCATTAAAGCATTCGATGGACTGGATTTATGTGGATTTAGACTCTCATTCTGATGGCACCCACGTTTGTTTATTTTCAGATTAATCAACTGAACTATTACAGTATAACAATATACATGTACGTTCTTAAAACTAAAGGTTCCAAAAAAGGTTTTTCACAACAATGCCACAGAACCACCATGTGGTTATGGCCGCCAGAAAGAACCTTTCAGTGAACAGTTCTTAAAAGAAGAACTGTTCTTTTTCCACTAAAAATAGGTGAAAATTTTGCATAGGAAAGGTTCCATGGATGTTAAAGTTTTCTTTATTTTTAAGAGTGTACTTCATTTTGAGTGTTTCCACATGACATTGCAGAGTTTACAAGTTGTAATTACAAGTTCTATGAGGATGTGAATGCATTTTACAAGTCAGAATCTTGTAATTACAGTAATTTTGTCTTGAAAAATACTCACTTTATTTCGCCAGCAAAACATAAACGGAAAATTACTGAGAGCACCTTTAAAAAATGAAATCGAAATGGGAGTATTGTGGCCTTTAGATCATGTTTGTTTTTGAGGTTTTATGCTAGTTTATATCACAACAAATTAGCCGTTTTCGCACATGTAAAATATACAGACTTTCTCTCTGATGCGCTTTTTGAATCTTGAAAGCTCCAGTTGCATAAATACATTTTTATTTTCTCTCACAAATTCTTTTTTTGTATTCCACATTTTAAATACTGGTTTGGAACAACATGAAGGTGAATACAGGTGAGTCACTTTTGAGTGAACTATAACTTAAATGAAATAATAGGTTTTCATATGTCTGATCTGATTCCTTCGCAAATGTACTGTATATGACTTACTTTTTACAAGCACAGCATTGGTAGGCAATTTGCTTCTCAAAACTTACCTGCAAATCATCGGAGAGTGTATGAATTACATAATACAAATTCATATAAATTTGCCACCAGTTCACCAAAACATAAAATTGTTATAAGTTGACATGAGAGTTAACACTGAAATTCTGTCATTGTTTACTCATCCTAACGTCATTCCAAACCTATATGCTTGTTATTTTCCATGCAATTGCATTGACCAGTGGCCAAAGCTTTCAAGGTTCAAAAAAGACCTTCACAAACCTTTTCTATTTGTATTCCACATAAGAAATAAAGTCATATTAGTTTGGTGCAATAAGAGAGTGAGTCATTTTTGGGTGAACTGTAACCGTAATACTGTTTTTCAAATGTCTTATTCCTTCACAAACACAAGGTAAATGACTTACTTTTTTACAAGCACAGCATTGGTAGGCGAATTGCTTCTCAAAACAAGGGACACAGAAGTAATTGTTATCTTTAGGGATGAAAGACTTGGTTCCTATTGGCTGCTGACAGCGTTGACACAGAAAGCATGTCTCATGCCAGCTGTTGCCTTTGTACTCCATTTTTCGTGATCCTAACACATGAGTAGAAGACAACCTTTATACACCGAGATCCTTAATATTTTATTCAACTTAATAAACCACCTATTTTTAATACAAACACATGCTATTGAGATTTTTAGGGGGGGGGGGAATCATTTAGTTACATTTGATTTCTCGAGAAAAGATAAAGAAGAGAACAAAGTGTTCTACCTGGCATGACAGTCTTCTTGCAGGTGTTACACTTTGAGGAATGCTCATGAGAATAGCATTCGGTGCAAAGCATAAGGTCATCTTTAGCAGCAAATGTTTTGTCCACCAATGATCGACTGCACTTGCCGCACGTGAAGCAATTTTCATGCCAGTGCCGGTCTTTGTAGGAGAGATCCTTCATTATGCATGCAGAGAAAGTCTAGTTATAAGATTGCAAATCTGTTTTGACTTTCTGTCACTCATTAATCCTTTATTAATGGATCCTTTTTTACATTTCCAGGGTTCTTAAAAGCGAAAGTCATCATAGTTGGGTAAACATCTATAGTGGTGAATGGATACTACAACAAATATAATTTGTGTTCCCATTTGATCCAAAAGCAAATGAAAAAAATCCATGATAGCATTTCAATGACTTTCCAAAAGAGGAACAAATATTTTGATTAATTACACTGGCCAGAAGGGAGTTTTGAAATGTAATGCCAAGGTACTATGACACAAAGTTTAGTCTTATAAATATGCATTAATTTAAAAAAATGAAAAAGAAAGAAAAACTTTTTTACATAAGTCTGTGAAAAGGGTCCATTGTTCTCACACATTTTTGATTTATGGTTGCATTGTATTAAAAAGTAATTCAATGTCATTTTCAAATATAAATGTGTGAATTATGATGTCAGTAAATGCTTTCTTACGCCTACCTTAGAGTTGCACCCAATTGGCAAAGAACACACTTCACAGCAGTTAGCAAACAGATTCTCATAGCACTTTGTGCAGTATTGGGTGTCCTCTTTTAGGATGTATTTCTTTCCAAGCAAAGTGTCCTTGCAGTAATGGCAGTCAAATCGTTCCATAGACATTGTTGTTTATGTCTTAAAAGCAGTAAACAGAACCATAAAAATGTTACAACATACCAGGCTAAAGCAATCAGGGCGGTGTCATCCACAAAATACGAACGCCTCTTAAAATAGACACAACATGCTAAAATGATGGTCTCTGTAAACAAGGTCCCGGGATCCTAAACCCCCTTTAAGGTATCAGGAGAACAGCTTGCCATCTGTAATAGTGAGTAAAACTCACCTTCAGTGGCTCAATGGGTTTCTAAAGGGGTTGCAGGGTGAGATGGCCAGTGATTGAGGAGTTGCATTAGAATGAGCCTCTATAAATACGATTGCTCTTATTAGCTGAAATCCCTGGGGAGAATGGCCCAGTTGCTGATCTCTGCACCTTTTATGGGAGTCCAATCACAACGCATGCCTTATGGTCAAGATATGTGAATGGTGCCACTGAAATGTTATTCCTTTTGTGTACTCTTAAATCAGTGTTTGGACTTTTGGACAAGTACTTTTTCATTACATATTATTCCTGTAAGAGTTACAGAAATCAGCATTTTAGCTAAATGAATTTGTGTCAAATGAATCTTTAACACATTATCTTCATAGTTACAATACTTCATGTCTCGCATATCAGTGAAATTAGCGATTGCTCTGTCCTCGGATACTGGATATCTTACTGTATCCACATCTGAGCCCTCAAGCAACTGCTGAAGGCTTAGAGAGAGTTGAAAGCTTCTCTGTAACCATTCAAATTGCTTTGGGTTGATTGGACCTCTGATTACAAGAGCTATGCAGCAATTTCCACAACTTAACAGGTCACACACGGGGGGGGTCTGTTAAATATCTTAAATGTAAATGTCATCTAGAGTTGGTTCTTGACATTTACATTTAAGGGATATACCCAGATAACAGGGAACATTCTCAGTACTTTGGCTAACGTTCTGGCGAGGTTCTCTCAAAGTTATGAGCAGACATTCTTCCAGTAAGATTAATAGAACATTCATTCAGAGTTATGTGGTCTTTAATAATGTTCTTATAATGGTAGCATCGTTCATGGAGGGTTTTTTTCTGAAATGTTTTAATTGGATGTTTGACTAACATTTTTTTAATGTTACTACACTCTTAAAAATAAAGGTGCTTCACGATGCCATAGAAGAACCTTTTTGTCTAAATGGTTTCATAAAGAACCTTTAACATCTGAAGAACCTTTCTGTTTTACAAAAGGTTCTTTGGGGCGAAAGAAGGTTCTTCAGATTACAAAAAAAGTAAGAAAGAGATGGTTCTTTAAAGAACCTTTGACTGAATGGTTCTTTGTGGAACCAAAAATGGTTCTTCTATGGCATCGCTTGAAGAACCTTTTGAAGCACCTTTATTTTTAAGAGTGTATGTGGCTCAGAACGTTCAGAGAACATTGCTGTGACAATGTTCTTTTAATGTTCGCATAACCAATAAATAAATAAACATCAACACTGGACGTTTTGAATGTTCAGAGAACATTCAGAGATAACTTTTTCAAAACTAAATATTCTACCACTAAAACAGTAGCACAAAAACTGTATTTATACATTATTCATGAAATGTTTTTTTCTGAAACGTTTTAGTTGAATTTTTAAAAACGTATTATTTTTTAAATGTTACTACATGTTTCAGAACATTTAAAAGTAACTTTCCCATAATGTTTCAATTTCAAATTGGAATGTTCCCTTAATGTTCACATGATCAAAAAACTTTTTTAAAACTTTTAAAATATTTAGAGAACTTTCAGAAAAAACGCTTTCATAACTAAATGGGAAAGTTAGCAAAACATTCCTAGAACATAGTTTTGATTACTGTATATATTAGTGCTGCAGGGATGATGTATTTTTTAGGCCAAAATCCAGACACTGGCATTTTATCACTTCTAGTTCCATCATTGAAGTCAATGGGTTTTTTGAATAGGTTTTTGGTTAAAAAAAGGGTCTGTGGTTTTGTGGTTCACGTTTTATTCTACAACATAAAATACATTAGTAATACTCCTTGTGATTTCTTTTAAGCTTTTACTTGTCTTGAAAAAGGCGGTTGCTAACAAGTAGCTAAATGGGACTGCAGAGGTTTTCAGGGACAGTAAACATTACCATGCCAAACAGGAAAACTCATCTACTCACTAGTCTGCTCTTGCAAACTATTCTAACATAAACTTTCAGGGATTTTTATTTTTAAATAATGACTGAAAGACCTGTCGTTGGAAGCTTGATGGTGGTGACGTTGAAGATTGTATATAGGCTTCATTTGTGAAGATTATCCCGATGAACAAAATGTGTAAGAGTCAAACTTTTGTTGGTCAACTTATTTTCAACAATCTAAAAGCCAATGAAAAAACCCTCATCATTGCAGCAATCTATATATGTGTATGCGGTTGCTAACAAGTAGCTAAATGGGACTGCAGAGGTTTTCAGGGACAGTAAACATTACCATGCCAAACAGGAAAACTCATCTACTCACTAGTCTGCTCTTGCAAACTATTCTAACATAAACTTTCAGGGATTTTTATTTTTAAATAATGACTGAAAGACCTGTCGTTGGAAGCTTGATGGTGGTGACGTTGAAGATTGTATATAGGCTTCATTTGTGAAGATTATCCCGATGAACAAAATGTGTAAGAGTCAAACTTTTGTTGGTCAACTTATTTTCAACAATAATCTAAAAGCCAATGAAAAAACCCTCATCATTGCAGCAATCTATATATGTGTATGTATATATATATATATGGCATCAGGCTGTAAACCCTTTTTGTTCTACATGAAGTGTAAGAATTTAAGGCCTACTGTATAACTTTCAAAATTCAAACTTATTTTAAACATTCAGACAAGTTTGCTTTTCTGTATTTCTTCTGTTGCTGTAATGCTTTTGCAACGCTTGCAATAATCTAATATATAAATGTATCGAACTGTAATGAACAGACCAGTTTCGTTTGCAGTATTTTGCACTTGACACTTGAGCTGCATCCAACTAATTAGCAATCTCTGAGTCTCTGAGTTTGTAGTCATATCATTTATCAAGAGGATGAGAGAAATTAGATCGGTGCAAAAATAGCTCAGAAGGTCAGCAGTTAAAGAACTTAATCCATCATGCATGCGCATAGGGAGGTCAGTCTATTAGAGAAAGCAGTGATCAATACTACCTTAGACTTTCTGCAGTTTCTGGCTCACATCGTCTGTCTTAATGAATGAAGGGAAAAACACATTCATTGCTTGGCAATTTATTCAGTATGATTCTTCTTTGCAAAAGTGTCTCGTAAAGTGAAGTGTCCTGGATGCCAAAAGGGACAGTTTGGAGAACCGCATACCACAATTACGTAACTCTTGACAGCAGTATTTGGAGTCTCATTATCTGTCCTAAGCATTCATGTCTGTCTTTTCGTTCTCTTTACCAGGTGTCAACATGACCTGCTAGATGTTTGATTTGATGAACATCCATCACCAGGGGTTTTTAGCTCAGAGCACGGCTGTTGCAACCACTAGATTAATCTCCAACTGCGCACCTAGCAGCTCGTCTCAGAACAAACAAACATGCACAGACTTTCGGTTGCTAGGCATCCCAGAGCATGCAGCACGTTTGACTGAAACTAGACAAGTGAGTCAGAGTAAAATGTGTGTATATTTATGTGTTTGTGTGATTGGAGAGATTAAGAGAGGAAGTGTTGGAAAAGAAAAATATCTTTAACCTGAACTATGAATAGATGGAATCTTTTAAATAAAGTAATCAGAATTACAAAGTAGCATGTAGCTAATGTGTCTCTGTTGTAATAAATCACTAATATTTCTGGACTTTTTGCGATTTTGTTGAAGTGGAGGAATGGCAGCAAATGATGGGGATGTGTGGCCAGAAACATATTTTACACAAGTACCTGAACGCACGCACTTTTAGATTTGCTTGACGTGTAAGTGCATCCCAAAATATATCAGAATGCAATTTTAATACAATGCATTTGCATTGATTCTACTTCTACAGTCAGTTTACTCTTCCAGATCAACTTCTTTCATGGTGGAGCAATTATTAATCCAATAACAAGAAACTCATCAACACTTTTATTCCTAGCTACCAGAATTTTGGCATATTTGATTTAATAGCAGAGATATTTGAAATTGATTCTACTGCCCCTTACTGAGGTTTGTTACGGCCACAGTAATGCAATAACACAGTTGGCAGTGTTATTTTAGCATTTATTATTATACTGCATTAGCTTTTATTATTATATTATTATTTTTCATTTTAGCAATTTTGTTATGTGCTTTTGTCATTAGTATTTTTTCTGTTTAGCTTTGATTTAATTATTTTTTGTTTAGTTTTACTTTTTATTTAGTACTTCAACTTACTCTTATTTATTTTGTTTAGTTGCCAAGTCAACATTTCTAATTTTCATTTCAGGTTTTTATATAATATTTTGTTTTAGGATTCATCTCATAGTCATCTAATGTTTAAAGTTTTCTATCTAATATTTCTGTTTTATTTTATTTCGGCTTTATTTCAATTACCAAAAACAGTTTTAGTCAACAATAACAACCCTGACAGCTGGGTCCACAAATCTGAGACCACATTGAAAATCTGATATTTAAAATCCAGTTTAAAAAATGTATTAAATAAAAATAAATAAAAAATGTAAGATGAAGGAAAAATTTTTTAAATAATAAAAATATATTTAATAAAATAAACATAAAATAAAGTTCTTTGAAAATCTTTTTGTTATGGTCATAATTTCTAATAAAAACATTAACATTAAATGAGAAAATGCAAAATATAAGCATTTTCACTTAGTGGTCTCAAAAGAACAGTGCATTCCAATGCATTGGCCAAATATTTAACAACTTTAAATAACTTTAACAAATGTTTTTTTTCTCCCCTTTTACAAATGTCAGAAACAATAACCACATCTTACAATCATACTTACCAACAGTCTATTTAATCTGTTGTGACACATAAGCATTTTCACTTAGTGGTCTCAAAAGAACAGTGCATTCCAATGCATTGGCCAAATATTCATGCGCACATTTGCTAACTTTAACAAATGTTTTTTTTCTCCCCTTTTACAAATGTCAGAAACAATAACCACATCTTACAATCATACTTACCAACAGTCTATTTAATCTGTTGTGACACTGCTGTAAAATCTGCTGATCTGACACTGATTATGAGAAGGCATCTCTTCAGCTACATCATTCTCACACATTCTACTCAGGACTAAGATGTTTAACAAAGTGTTAACAGCATAAGTGGAGTCATTGGGTTGAGATCAGGTGGTCTTCACAGCAATAAGTGGTCTCACA